TTCTTCAGCTGCACGTTTGTCTAAACTTGCAGCCTCGCCATGCCTTACAACACTGTGTATGCCACTACACTTCTTAAATCTGTCAAACCAGCCTTTGCTGGCCTTAAATTCACTAACAGCAGCACTCGTTCCAGGCATTTTATTCATGAGATCTGCATGCAACTGCCTAGCCTTTCACAAATGATCGACTTCACAACAATATCTCCTGCTAACTGTTTATCGTTGATCCACACCAACAATAACTTCTCCACATCTTCGATTACCTTTGAAGAGTTTTGAGAGTTTATCTACTCTCTGAGCCCGGTCACTGGCCGGGCTTGTATGGCACTTGCCTGGTCAATCAGGCTGTTGCTGCTGGAGGCCCACTGCCCCACATATCCATTATAGCCTGGTTGATCTGGCACCTGGTGAAGATACTTGACCAGTTTTCTCTTATTTCGTTAGCATATTTACCCCTTTCGCAACATTAGCTTCCTTTACTTCTACTTTCTTTGCCAGGATAGAAGCGACTGTTGATTTTGATTTGTCATACATCCTGGCAAACTGAAGCACATGTACACCACTTTCCTTATTTGCTACAATTTCTTTCTTGAATTCTGTCATGTTTCTCACTTTCTTTACCAAAGGGCTGGCACTAGGAACTTTCTTTGGGCCCATGGTGGCTTATTTCACAGTCGCACTCAATAAACAACCACAAAACACAATAGATTACAATGAAATGTTTGGATGAATGCTCAGAGTGTTGCTCACTCACCGAGACAGACAGCCAGACTGACTCACGCACAGGGCGGAGTGGTGGGCAGACACATCCAATACGGTCAATTTCCGAGTTGATGGTCGAAATCCAGGATAGAATTTCGGCCAAAAAAGTGGCTGAAATCCGATTTGGCCGATATCCGCACCAGCCAATATCTGGGGGCCCATTGTACATTCATTACTTACCTTAAAATATTTGTAGTCTTAATGTAGGGTGAGAGGTGAGTAGTATTTATTTGTAGGAAGTCAGTGTAGGTAGCCAGAAGATGTAGGTACACGTATGCAGTCCCTCTGGGCTACACCTACCTGTTGCCTAAACTGCAGAACACAGCCATACTACCACCATCGACATACCATGTTCACTGAGTTTAATTGTTTCTAACAACTACCTTTAGATACCATCATTAACAAAGGGAGAAGTAATGAAAAATTCATGTCGAGAATTGTAAACAAACACGTGTTAAGGGCGGTGACTGGGCCAGATGCCAGATTCACGGTTTTTCTCTAACACTCGACCAGAGAAAACGTAATGTTTACCCTCCACCTGACTCACCACTTGAAAGCATATAAACATTGCATGTTTATTTGCTATGTTTATATGCTATATGCCATGTAATGTGTTTCTTACATAATTTTGAAGAAAATATCATAGATGGACTAATGATAATGTCTATATTAACCTAAAATGAGACATATAATGTGGCCAAGAGTGATTATTATTAAACATACATTGCATATAAACATTGCATGTTTTTATATACTATGTAACGTGTTTCTTATATAATTCTGAAGAAAATATCATAGATGGATTAATGAAAATGTCTATATTAACAGAAAATAAGACATTTAATGTGCCCAAGAGTGATTATTATTGCATATTATTATTATAACTATGGTGTTAAGATTAGAGGGACACTCTTAGTGAATGAGTAACAGAGGCATGTTTATATGCTATGTAATGTATTTTTTCTATAATTTTGAAGAAAATATCATAGATGGATTAGTGAAAATGTCTATATTAACCTAAAATAAGACATTTAATGGGCCCAAGAGTGAGTCATAAACGTATGAGCGGCCCAGGTGAACGCGTCTGGTACCAACAATTTCTAAGCAGATGCACAAAAACTGGGGGCGGGGGGGATGATTTCGCCGAAAAAAGTGCTCAACTTCCGAACTGGCCGATTTCTGCACTAGCCGAAAACCAGGGGTCCACTGTATTACTTGATGTTTTCCCTTCGCCTGGCAACCACACTTTCATAGCATATAAACATAGCATGTTTATATACCAAAGAGGGAAACATTACGTTTTCTCTGGTCCAGCACCAAAGAAAACGTGTACGAATCTGTGTCTGGCCTAATCACTCCTGCTTTTGTTTACAGTTCTCAGCATGAATTATTCATTACTTCTCCCTTCGTTAATGATGGCATCTAAGGTAGTTGTTAGAAACAATTAAATTCAGTGAACAAGGCATGTCGATGGTAATAATATGGCTCTGGGCTGCAGTGTAGGTAGCCAGTAGGTGTAGCCCAGGCTGGTTACACTTACCAGCTACCTACACTGACTTCCTACAAATAAATACTACTCACCTCTCATCCAACATTAAGACGGATTAATTGGATTTACATTACATTTCTTATGGGAAGTACTGCTTCAGTTTTCGTAGGGTCCGGTTTTCATCAGACTTTTTCAAACGTATTTATCATGAAAACTGAGGTTCCACTGTACCTGAAATCTTGCAGGTTTATGAGACAGAAAAACGACACCAGCAATCCCACCATTATGTAAAACAATTAAGAGGCTTCCATTTTATACTCACTTGGCAGGACGGTAGTACCTCCCTGGGCGGTTCTGCAGCAGATTCATCATCTTTTATTCCCACACCTCTCCCAAATGCCCCTAAGTCCTAATTTTGCTGGGAAATAGTGACTCACATACCAGTACATGACCTGACCAAACCTGACCCCACCTAATGTACCTGACCTCTATCCACTACATATTCTGCAATTTTTCGTGCTTTGTATTGGCTTGATCAAAGCCAAAGAGCAAAAAATCTTCATATAAAGTGTTAAGTATTGTGTATATGTCCTTGTTCCCACAAACTATAATACTGTGGATGTTTTGCGAGTGTAGTGGTATTATGTTTCCGTGATGGTAATGAGTAATACTGATAATGTGAATAAATGAATATTCCTCTGAGTAGCTTGAACCCATTTCATCCTATAATATACAAATTTTTCTCTAATAAAGCTGCTCTATACAGCATAGAGCATACATCAGACTGGTCCAAAAATACATGTATATGTTAACTTTAAAACTTCAAAGGAAGTGCACTCCACAACGTAATTTTTATTCCACTATATGAGTCTGTACTGTGCCAAAATTTGGACCATTTCATGAATATCTAAAGGCTGTGCAAAACTTCATCTTTAGTTTCTCTCTATCACAGATGGCATCCTCAGTACCTAGTACACGAAGTGCATTGGAAGGGTGGTTAGTAGGGTGTCCCCTCGAGTTTTTCTCAACTGCCCGGCTTCTGATGCGAGGTGACGTATGTCATGCCACAATTCCTTCACCTGAGGCAGAACCTACTCTCACTTTTCATCGCCTTGATCTACATCCGGTTCTGGAACAAGGCTCCGCGTGGCATGCAAGCCCCTTGCAATGACGTAGACTTCCTCCAAACCCATCGAGCGTATCCTGGTTGGATTGGCATTCTTCGACAAGAAAGTGGACATTGTGCCAATGAACAAGATGGTGACCAACCTCAAGCAGGAAAAGAAACCAGGGTGCCCCCATTGTTTGCAAGGTGTCCCAGAGATCGGAGTCGGACTGGAGGAGCTCATGACTAAGAGGATGCTGAAGATGTTTAGCATCATTGCTAAGCAGAGGAAGGGGAAAGAAAAATCTTCTTTCTTGAATGAAGACCCTGAAATGTGGGAGATGAACACGACGTTCCTGGAAATGAAGAAGTCTGCGGGGTCTTTGAAGGTCGTGAACGACACAGCAGAAAGAGCTGTTTCCCTTGTTCAGACCTCCAACGCGTCACTGACTAAGGATGAGGAGCAGAAACAGTACCTTCTTCGCCTCATCGCGGATCACCGTCGCTGTTTCCCGGCTCCGACCAAGGAGAGACTAATGAAGGAGGGTGATTGCTGAATTTTAGAGGGACAGATTGAAGTCCCACCTTATTTCATCGTTCAAGTAGGCACAAGAAAACATTATTACGAGCAAGAGAGCGGAGCGACATCTTACGGGGAGTTGGTGTGACAAATGAGAGACCCGACACGACCCAACCAGACCTGACACGGCCAGCTGTTTTTGAGAGCTAATAACTTTTTCCCTATACAAGATAGAGACCTAATTCCTTTTGAATCTGACAGTCTCATGAAATAAATTATGTTATTAACTGTTTGTTTCACTGAAATTCCATGGGAACCCTCCAGAAAACTGCAGTATTTGAGGGGATGCTTGGCCAAATTTCAATGTTTGCTCAACTTGAGAAGTGAATTGCATTAGATCTTCTGTTGTGACACTATGCTTTCTTTACTGAAATCAAAAGAGAAAAGATGGGAGAATATGATTAAGAATTTACATTAACATTTTTTCAACTTTTAATGGGAGAAATCAGCTGGGGAAAGCACCCATTTTCAGTGATTTTTCAGTGGTTGGAGAAGGTCGATCAAAACCAACAATTTTTCAGCCAAGAATTCATGACAAACATGTGCTTTATTTAAATTGAGTGGTACCTCCTCGTCAATACACGTATAATCGCTTGTTCGTTTCGTGCTCAACAAAGCGCTAAAAACTGGTTACTGATTCAGTCATTCTGCTTTCAGAGAAAATTGGAGCTATGCTATGTGAAAGAGGAACAAAAATAAAAATTTCTTCAGTTTCTCTTCTATTGGCGAGAGACGTCTTTTTGCGTGACCCCTAAAATTGAACAAAATTTCCTGAAAATTGGTCTGAATGTTACTTAGGAACAGTGTAACAAAATAAAGCTTGTGAAGCTAACAATTTCACAACTTCATTTTTTGGACCAGTCTAATGTATGCACTACGAAGACCTTTCTATGCACTATTCAATTTTGGATAACTTTTGTGATAGCATTTACAAACAAAAATTGCACTATATAGAGGAACTTTATAAGAAAGCTTACTGTATATACTTTTTCATTCCAATCTGCTGAGTAAATCTCCACAGCTTTAAATGTGGAAAAGAAGCAGAATTCCTGAACACAACTTACTTTATCTTCGTTACGATCAATTTGAGACTTCTGTGACACGAGATCTCTCTTCAAGGACTCGACTTGCATAGCCCTCTGCTCCTGCTGAGCCAATGCCAAAAAATCATAAGGGCGCCGCAGCTGGAAGATTGAATCCATCTGCAAAAAAAAAAGGAAAAAAAAAAAAAGGTATATTCTAAATAGGTAAATTATACAATGACAACTATGTGCTTTATCACATTAAGTTATACAGTATACAGATCTCATGACGGATTGAAACTGAAATTTATTTTTTATTTCAAGTTATCATACACAAAATACAATAAGGTCATAAGATGCATTGCATGTACAACTGTATAACAGGCACTTAACCCTTAAACTGTCCAAACTTCGATCTAAGTTTACGTGTGTAGCGCTGGTCCAACCTTCATTTTCTCCATTTGAAAGCATATAAAAAAAAGTAGAGCTACGTTCGGACATTTTAAGGGTTAAAAACAAATGAGCTAACAGACTCCTTGGCTTCATATCTAGAAGTATAAATAATGGAAGTCCTCAGGTTGTTCTTTAACTCCATATATCTTTGGTTAGGCTTCATTTGGATTATGCTGCACAGTTCTGGTCACCGTATTACAGAATGGATATAAATGCACTGGAAAATATACAGAGGAGGATGACAAAGATGATCCCATGTATCAGGTATCTTCCCTATGAGGATAGACTGAGAGCCCTGAATTTGCACTCTCTCAAAAGGCGTAGAATTAGGGAGGATATGATCAAGGTGTATAAATGGAAAACAGGAATAAATAAAGGGGATTTAAATAGCGTGCTGAAAATTTCCCGCCAAGACAGAACTCGCAGCAATGGTTTCAAGTTGGAAAAATTCAGATTCAGGAAGGATATAAGAAAGCACTGGTTTGGTAATAAAGTTGTGGATGAGTGGAACAAACTTCCGAGTACCGTTATTGAGGCTAAAACATTGTGTAGCTTTAAAACTAGGTTAGATAAAAACATGAGTGGGTGTGAATTGGACCTGACTAGCTTGTGCTGCTAGGTCTGATGCGGTGCTCCTTCCTTTAAGTGGAAGTGACCTGATTAGGAGGGTCATTGGGCTAATCCAGGGGGGGGGGACATGGACCTGCTTCGCATGGGTCAGTAGGCCTGCTGCAGTGTTGCTTCTTTCTTATGTTCTTAAATGAACTTATATAGCTTATATTAAAAACTGTCATTTGGAATAACAGTATTACAATAATAATAAGAGTATTATTATTATTATTATTATTATTATTATTATTATTATTATGTAGACAGCCTGTACTGTCTGCACAGACAGCCCATGCTGTCTGCCAGCTTAGTTCATATTTCGCGCCACTAAGGTGCTGCCCTCTGGGCCTGTCCAAGTCTGTGGGGAGCTGGTCCCACACGCTCTTACTCACACAGTGGCCTAGCAGGAAGACACAAGGCCTACTACTAGCTCTCTCCTCTCGTGTGATGGCCCTGCCCGGGCAATGGGCACAACACACAAGCCTGTGTACCCACCACGACTTTTCAGTAAACAAAGAAGCCTCCGAAGAAGTTTATCATTAACCACCCGCTTTCAAACCTACCAAATAACCTTTATAAATGGTGGGAAGCGGTGGTCGCAGCAGTTGTTTGCCCAGAGAGGAAAAGGGGTGAAATCATCTTCACTTCATCATCCCATGCAAGAAGCATCCGTCCTCAACGAGTTATCCTGTCGTCGTGTTTGCACGTTTCAGCATCCAGACACAGGTACAAGCAGGGTCCAGCCGAAATTTTACCCAAAATTTCTTCGAAACTGTAAGTGGCGTCCCAGTGACCCTGTCATGTGGGTTTCGATAATGTGGATGGGTAAGAATACTCACGTAGGCTGGTAGTACGTATAATATAACGGAAAGTATGGGAAGGCACCAACAGCCGACCTGCCTCTCTCTGCTCCCTATCTTGACTGACTCACAGTGCCTATGGGTGAGGGGGTGTTTGAAATCCTGCTATGGTCAGCAGCAATATGAATACAGTCAGTGATTCACGCAGAGACGGTTGGTAGTGAGTCATCTACTGGTACACTGGTTACTGGTAACTGGTTGCTAGGAACTGGTACTACTACTGAGAGCTCGGCGGTTTCGATAACGTGGATGGGGTAAGAATACTCACGTAGGCTGGTAGTACGTATAACGGAAAGTATGGGAAGGCACCAACAGCCGACCTGCCTCTCTCTGCTCCCTATCTTGACTGACTCACAGTGCCTATGGGTGAGGGGGTGTTTGAAATCCTGCTATGGTCAGCAGCAATATGAATACAGTCAGTGATTCACACAGAGACGGTTGGTAGTGAGTCATCTACTGGTACACTGGTTACTGGTACACTGGTTACTGGTAACTGGTTGCTAGTAACTGGTACTACTACTGAGAACCCCACGCTGTTTCTCAAGTCACGTGTTCAGCGTCACTTGTATGTTGCTGTTGTTGTTCAGCTCAGCACAGCTGTTTCAGCAAGTCAGAGGTGAGTTTTGTGGTGATTTCTGCGTCCAGTGTGTTTCCCCTGTGTTTGTAGGTGGAAGGAGGAGGAAGTGGCCAGATGCTCCCTCACCATACACTCACCAACGCTCCTCGCCGCCACACTACCATACACTCACCACTACTCACTCCCTCTGCTGTGTTTTCTGCTGTTTTCCATGTGAATTCATTGCCAGAGCTGTGTATCCAAGTGCCCGAGGCCACTCGAAGCTACGTGGATCAGCATGCCACATAGATCAGCAAGCCACCTGGATCGCGACGCCACGTGGGGTGTGGACGATGTCACGTGGATCTACAAGCCACGTGGGTTACCAAGCCAGATGTCCCAGGCCTCATGTGGTGGTCTGCTGCCCGCATCACATTGACGTCACCGATGCTGCTGCCCGACTTCACGACGTCACGATGTCTACTGACGTCACCTTGAGATGTCTGCTGACGTCACAGTGCTGCTGATGTCACCTCGCGACATCACACCTGACATCACATGATGTCACATCGAGTGTTCTAGTAATTATTTCAGTATTGTCGAGAAGATTGAGAGAAGATATATGTCGTGTGTTAATTAATTCCTCTCAGTCAGTGTTCTCACATGTTAGTGTATGGCTTAGTGTCAGTTTTGTGCACAGAAAAGCATCTTTTGCTAGTTTAACCCTTTGAGGGTCCGTCCCGTAGATCTACGGCTTTACGTTCAGGGTCCAAACCGTAGAGCTACGTCATGAGCTCAGCTCACTCTGATAAACTGTGAGTGGTAAATTTGGGCCTAGATATGAGAGAATACATCTATGTGGTATGTGTGCACCACATAAAACAGATCCTGCAGCACGTTGTGTATAATGAGAGAAAAAAACTGAAATCATGATTTTTCGATTAAAACAGCGACTTTGCAGTGTTTTTTCGTATGTTTTTTATAGTTGTATTTGCGATTTCTTGGTCTCATTTGATAGAATGGAAGACATATTACAGAAACAGAGATGATTTTGACTGGTTTTAGCACTGGAAATGGCTTGAAACTGAGCTCAAAGTAGCAGAAATGTTAAATTTTTGCCGAAATTCAAGAGTAAACAAACGACCTCACACGTCTACTACACACCAGCTGGTGGGTCTAATATGCATTCACAAATATGGTGATGATATTTATACAATTATTACAATATTGCATAACAGTAAATCTTCTATTTTTTGGTGTGAATAAAAATTCATTATGTGAATAAAAAATCAAAATGGAATTTATTTGTAAAGCCTCAAAACGTAACTAATGAACAGAGGAAATGGTAGTTTAGTTTCAGGAATACCTACATTGTTTATTCTGGACCCTATTTTGAAATTGGAATATTTTGAACTTTGTGTTAAATTGGCCAAATTAACAATTTCCGATCACTTTAATTTGTAGTTGAAACAGTTGACTTGGCAATTTCTTGTGCTCAATCGATAGAATAGAAGTAATACTAGTGAAATAGCTAAGAATTTGGTTGACTGGAATAATGTAATTGGCCTAAAATGGGAGTCAAAGTCAGCAAAATTGCTGATTCGTAAATATCACTGACACATCAAAATTCGCGAGAGCATAATTTCGTCAATTTTCCATCAAATTTCGTACTTTTTGTTTTATTACCTTCACAAAAAGATTCTCTACCATTTCATAAGAAAAAATAACAAATTTTTTTTTTTAAATTCTTGGACACTGGGGCACCACTTCAGATTTGGGCCTTGGACCCTGAAGGGGTTAAGCCATGTTGTACCGCATGTACCGCGGGTGTGTGTAAAGCTTTCCGTGAGTCCAGTGTCAGACCTCGTGTAGCACCACTGTGCTAAGTCACCCGGTGTGACCAGCGTGTTTGACAGCTGATATCAGTCAGCCCCTGAGAGTATGAGCCCCCTTGTACTGAAAGCTCTTATGCTCATCGCTCATAGATGTCTGCAGAATCGTACCTGCTACGATTCCCATCGAGATTTGTTTCACTTCACCTCCAGACCTTCAGAGTGCAGATATATGTAGAGAAACAAGTCTGGGGACGCTTAGACTAACCTCTGCTATAACTCCAACTGCCGAAGAATGACACTCGACAAGCCGCAGTTAGCCCTGTCGGCAGGCGCTGTGTCAGCCTCGTGTCACAAGTTTCAGTGAGCTCTTGCACAAAGATGATGTCACTTTGACTGCTAGCTCTCTCACTGCAGTCTGGTGTATGATGTTACGACTCCCTGATGTTTCGCCCAGTCGTCTCTGCCACAACTCACTCCACAACTCACTCCACGCTCGCTGGCAGTGACAGCCCAGCAACAGTACCAGTTGAGAAGTGTCCTCCTGAGTCGCTTGCCAGAAGTCCTGCCCAGTTGCCAAGTTTTGTCGACGCCTCATTCGAGGGCACCAGCATGTCGTGCTCCAGGTTGAGTGAAACCTGCAGCGACTCCTACAATGACTGCTTCACCGTTCCCGAGGAGACCGTACCCTGTTACGTCACAGCTCAGCCGCAGCGATGTCTCCTGTGTTGCAGTATCTGTCCAGACGCAGGAAGGCGTGCAGTGATGCCCTTCGATGCTCACTGCCTATGACCACGATGTTTAGCACACCCTACATGTTTTTTCTTCCCTCCCTGTAGGAAGTTTTTTTTTTCCATGTCCATATGTATATATATGCTTTTATTTTGTGTTCTGTGCCCTGTTCCTACGAGAGAGAGACCGAGTTTTTTTTACCGCCAGACATGGTCGGGACGACCATGTGGCAGGTGGCCGAGAGTATGTAGACAGCCTGTACTGTCTGCACAGACAGCCCATGCTGTCTGCCAGCTTAGTTCATAATTCGCGCCACTAAGGTGCTGCCCTCTGGGCCTGTCCAAGTCTGTGGGAAGCTGGTCCCACACACTCTCACTCACACAGCGGCCTAGCAGGAAGACACAAGGCCTACTAGTAGCTCTCTCTTGTGGGATGGCCCTCCCGGGCCATGGGCACAACACACAAGCCTGTGTACCCACCACGACTTTGCAAATAAAGTAAGAAGCCTCCGAAGACGTATCATTTACTCCCCCGCTACCAGCTACACTAAATAAGCACATTTAACAATTATTATTATTATTATTATTATCATTAGGGATGAGATGATACCAAAATTTCTGCTGATACCAATATACTCAATTTTGGGTTAAAGCCAATAGTTTTTTAATTACATGTATTTATATTTTAAATTATAACTATGTCCTATATATAAGGGAACGCTTATTGCTCAATAGGTATTAAATAACCCAGCAAGGTTAAATATTAAATAACTTAATTTCTCTGAGATGCTAATGTCATTACTCATTACTAATTACAGGTAGCCCCATGAGGCTTGTAAATTAAAAAAAAAAAAAAAAAAAAAACATTAAATTTCTGAGTCTTCCTACTGTACATTTTTAGTAATCTGATGAAGACATAATTTAAAATCAATTACAAAAATATAAGTATGAATAATTTCTAGTTATAATAAACATAAAACTAAAGCATTAAACATCCTCATAAAATTTCTTATTTAATGCTTTAAAAAACATCT